TTATTGGTTGTTGTCTTTGCCACTGTGCTTAGACGACATAAGTGAGACACATACACTATTGAAGTTTGAATATCATGTTCCCTATACCTCTAAAATAAATAAATAAAACTTTCACATGTATTGCCAAAAACATGGAAGGCATGTTATACCAATCCCAAATCAAATTTATCTTTCAAAGCCAAGTTCCTAATTGTACGTTATGTAGTATCCCAATCTCCCAGACCCACTGATTCTACTACTGACGGGTATATTCTCCTTTCTCTATAGATACTTCATTTTTCAACTAAAGGCTAAATAATAAAAGTGTCAAATTCAATGCAATTAACAAAATAAAGAGGATGAAAATAGTCATATAAATCTCTTAATGAACTTGAAACATGAACTACAATAGTGTCAAGAGTTAACATAAAATGGTCCCAAACTAATGGACAACTTACAAAGAGTTGGAATTTTAGCTTTACCTAAAGATAGCACCTTCAAACCAAATTGAGCATCTAAGCAATAAAGAGCCCCACACATCAACAAACAGAGCAGCTATAGTAATAAAAAAAAATATCTGATATAATACCAATAACATAGCAGCCAACATAATCAATTTGCAGCTAATAAGAAAAAGTATTTTACAATTACTGATAACAGATGAGTCCAACATATAGTTACCTATTTTCAATGCACACCAAAGGATGCTTTGAGAACCCATTAGCAAGCACCCAAGCCGAGTACCTGAAGCTCGCATTTGATCATGACGGAGACATTGGTGGAGAGATTGTTCAGCAACTTTGCGAGTTTGTCTCGTTCCTGTACCCCGTCCTCCATTATTGTCATGGGAGTTTCGTTCGGACAACCAGAAAAGTGAGCAGACCGAAACAAAAATCTGTGCTTAAACCTGGTCATACATAACGTAAACATGTACATATACATCTTTTTATTACTTGCCAAAAACAGAAATTTAGATAAATTTGCTCAATTTCTCAACCACATAACTCTTGACATCATTATTTACCAACAAATTGTGGTTCAAACTCACCAATCACCTCACATCATCAACCAACTCAACCAAAATAAAAAACAACAAAAATTACAATGTGCAAAATGGACCTAATTGTAGTCAAATCAAACCGGATTAGGATCGGAATCAAATGAAGTTTGCATGAAATCAAATCTAATTCACCAAAAATCTCGCATACATTCATATCATAATATCCAATCAACAGTTTGTTAAGACTTGCCAAAACAAAAATTAAAGACTAAATTTGCTCAATTTATCAACCTGCATTATTTTCGACCTCATCACATACCCAACAATTATGGCCCAAACTAACTAATCACCTCACATCATCAAACAAATCAGTCAAAATAAATAACAACAAAAACTATATGATCAATGACAAACCCGAATCAAACAAAGTGAAAGAATCAATTAAAATCTAGGGAAGAGAATCCAATGAAACAAATCCCATCAAAGATAAACATATTTTCAACACATTATACCCACACAAAAAAAGGTACATAGGAAATTCATACTAATCAAAAAAAAAAATGGTGGAATGTAAAATATTTCTCTCGGGCATTCCAACAAACACTTGATGTCCAAATAAATAAATTTCGAGTTGTGTATATTGTGTTTTGTATGTGTATGCAATGGGTGTGCAGGCTTGTTTGTGACGTGTGTGCGATGTGTGTGTGTGTGAATGGGTGTGGGTGTGGGTGTTTATTTCTGCTCTGTGTGTGTATGTACGCGATGTGTGTGTGCGTAAATGGACATGGGTGTGTGTGTGTGTTGGGTCTGTGTTGGGTGTGTGTGTGTGGGTGTATGTTGGGTGTGTGTGTGTGATGTATGTGAGGTTGGTGTGTGTCCTTGTGTGTGTTGTGTGTATGTGTGTGTGAATTGTGTTGTGTTGTGTGTATGTGTGTGTGAATCTGTGAAGTGAGAGAGAGAAGTGAGCGAAAGCATAGAGGGGGTAGAGAAGCAGTGGGGTGTGTGTGTGGTGTGAGAGAAGTGAGTGAGAAATAGAAAAGAAGAGGGGGGAAAGAAAGAGACTAACCTGAGAGTGAGTCGTCAGAGTTTCACCGGAGTTCAATGCTGCATAGAGAGAAAGAGACAAGAGAGAAAATTGGGAGGGGAGTTAGCGAAAAAAAAGGGGAGGAGAACAGAGAGTAGGGTGGGGCTATGCGTTCTTAAAGGGTGGGGATGTGTGAGGCATGCAGATGACTGTTGAGAGAGAAATTGTGTAATGGGCGGGAAATTATATGGGGATAAAATTCTGTTTTATTGCATAGATGTTTGTGTCGTATAATTTTTTATTGTGTTATTTTTGAATTATGTCATTTTCAGTACGTGAAAGTGTTTATGTTAACATTCATACTAATAAAAAAATATTTAATTATGCAACATCTCATATGAAACTAAGTAAAATAAATTAAATATTTATTTGTCTGTCTATATTACCGATTAATCGTATTATTCATGTCTAACCTTATCTTGATCCATTTATCATTCGTACTAATCAATTGTGTTATTTTTTGAGTTTTTTTGTATCAGATCATATTCGTATCAATAGATAAAATTGACACCTCAACTCACACGATTGGTCTTAGTGCCAGAGCACTATCGAAGAAAGATTTTCTATTTTTTGTTAACAATTAAGAGTGTCTAGGTCAACTTACGTGTATCTCAATTAATCTTCTCTCTAGTCCAACAAAAGGCCAAACATCCACATCAGGATTAGGGTATTCATGACGGATAAATCTCTCGTGATTTGCCCCAAGGAATTACCAAGATTTAAGTTTAAAATATATGAATTTATAGTTTATTTCTGTTATCACTTGAGCTACCATTCGAGTTAGAAGAAATATTTCAATTCCATAAATGTGTATAAAAGTTTACCAATATTGATAAAAAAATAATTGGGCCTATTTGAGGACTGAAAACTTCAACTTTTGTTAGATTAAGAGGAAAAAAGGTATGATCTGTCCGGACTTATTGGACAACTTTTCTATCAATTTATTGGACGAGAATAGCTTCTATCATTAACAGGGGAAAACTGATAAATCGGGCTTATCTAAGGGCTTTTTTGCGTAGCACCAAGAAAATGCTAAGACCAATCATCAAGAAGATGGTAACACTAGCAAGAGAGGTTAGTGTTATTTCTCGTAAAAGGAGTCTAGTTGTTATTTGACCAACTATCAGGGGATGTGCATGTAATTTACCCATTTTTTTAAGAATCAATTTCTTAACAATAATAGATAATGGTCTCAATTAAACTTTATAATTAAAAAGGATAATTTTGTTGCGGACTCTTTGATTGAATATATTGAAAAAAAAATGTTAGAATTTTAGAATAGAATCAGCAATAAATGTTTTTGGGAACTTAATGTTAACCACGCAAGTTTGGTATCTAAAGGCATCCTTAATGTTGATCTACACTCAAACTCAAAATTTGAGTAAAAAATTGAATCAAAATCTTGATTTGATATCAACTCTTCCAATGAAAAAATTTAATTTCATACTCAAATCTTTTTTTAAAATTTCTATATTGTCTTAAAAGATATTTGTTGTAAATTTTTTTCCTCTTCAAGCGTTATCGATTTCTAGAATTCGAAGGATGTCAGCCACAACTTGGTCGGTTGTTTTTGGGTATTCGAGTTTGAAGTTGAATTGAGTCTATCAAACATCATAGTTGATGGGGAGATGATTAGGTTTAATTTTAGGGTTTAGGGTTAGAGTTTTGTTATGGATGCTATGAAGGGAGGAATGGCTAGCGGTGCCGGAAGCTATAAAAGGAGGAGTGGTGGAGGAATGCCGTGAGAGATGGAATGGAAGTTTTGGCGGGGAATCCTTCCTTCTTGGTAGATTGACGATAGAAAAAGAAAAGAGAGAACGGTTCAGTTTTGGTCTCAAAAATTTTTGAGTAAAAATTTGATTTTCTCTCAATTTAGGAAAATAGTTTTTCATGTTTTGATATAAGTTTAAGTTAAAAATTGAAGAAGTTTTTTTGGGCCTTTTTTGCCCAAATTTAAGTGAGTTTTGTTTTTGGTAAGAAGTAGAGATAGCCTAAGATTGATTGCCCTCAATAAAAATGTCAAAATAATATTATTTTAATAAGAACTCTTGGATTTATTTTTTGAGACCACATCATTTAACAGATTATTTGGTCAGTAAATTAGTTTAAATTTTAAGACCCAAAAAGTGTTGTTGTAGTATAAAAATAGCAATCAATTTATACAAATTTCAAGTGGGGGCAAATTTTAAAAAATTATAAATTTATAAATATTTCAAAACTAGTACTCAAACTTTGCCACTGGTACTCAAACTTTGATTTAAATTTTTATTAAATAAAAATAATATTAAAATAAGCTCCATTATTATTCTCAACCCCATAAGAAAACTAAGAAAGAATCAATTTTTACACAATTTTATAGCAATCATATTTCACAATTCTCTATATATCAAATGATCACGTATACATATTTCATTATTTTTATATTTTTCTCTTTACCTTTCTATTTTTTGCAATATGTATTTAAATTTTTAAACTCATTAGTAAATTAAAAAATTATAATTCCACTCAAATTAAATTTTATTTTTATTGAAATTTAAAAATCAACAATTATGTATTTTTTTAAAAAAAAATTGAAGAGTACGAAAATGTTTTAAGAGATCATGAAAAAATCACTACTCCTTTGATGGTTTTTTTTTGGTCTAAAATTACGTCATTATTATCATGCAAAAGCATACTCAACTGTTTTGCCGTTTCTTCTTCGTCTCCATTTCTCTCCCTTGCTTCCCACCTCCTCCTTTCTCCCTAGCTGTCTCAGATTTCCATCTCCGAATGATCCATTTCCATCTGATCCCATAACATCCCCAAACAGTCATCAACCTTGTATCCCACATTGACGTTACAAAAACAAAAAAGGTAATCGTTTCTGTCTGATCCGATTTTTTGCCACAGTTTCCTCACCACCCAGATCCAAATTTCACACCACATTGATTCGCAAAAATGGCCACAATGGAGAGCTTGATTGGGCTTGTGAACAAAATCCAAAGAGCTTGCACTGTATTAGGGGATCATGGTGGCGAAGGAATGTCCCTCTGGGAAGCTCTTCCTTCTGTAGCTGTTGTTGGAGGCCAGGTCACATGTCACATTTTCCTCACAATCCTTACTTCCTTATCTGACTTTTGGTTTTTCCTTTCTTTTAAATTATTTTTTTTTCTGGCGAAAATCAGAGTTCTGGAAAATCTTCGGTGTTGGAAAGCGTTGTTGGGAGAGATTTTCTGCCTCGTGGATCCGGTAATTTATCCATTTTTACACCTTTTTTGGCTTTGTCATTGTTGTTTTTTTTTTTTTGGTATCTAACTTTAATTCTTTGATTAACCATGTTGTCACATTGAAGAGAAAATGGGAGAAAAGTAGATAGACACATACATTCTTAATACCGAGCTTTGATTAACCATGTTGTCACATTGAGCTTTTCTATCTTTTTTTTTTTTCTGGTCAGGTGAGCTTTACATTTTTAAGAATAGAAAAATGCTAAAGAATTGAAGGTGCCTTGAGTCATTAGCCTTTGTCTATGGCGTTTGCGTTTATATCGAATAGAAAGATTGACCATTATCAGTCTGTTAAGTTCAACGAATGCCCTTGCCACAACCAACTGGCCATAGCCTAGTTCTCCTCCTTTGGGATTTATTTCTCACATTCCCCTTTCTGAGGGTTTTATTTTGCCCCTCTTTCGGTTCTCTTCACCCTTCTTTGCAGCAGCAGAGCCAGGATTTCTTATTTTTTTTGGGGCGGGGGGAGACAAAATATAAAGTAGAAATGTGAGATAAAATAGTAGTCTTAATTGTCGTATTATTATTATTGAATTTCATCGGAGATGTTGGAGTTATCCAAGGTATTGAAGCTCCGAACAAAGTAAATCATGAATGTTGTTGCATTTGGGAGGATGAATTGGTGGAAGAGAATCTGGTGAATTAAACACAATTCAACTAGTTTGTTAAAAAAAGAAGAGCTAAAACTCTAAATGTATCATATCATTTTACAAGGGGCATCATATAATTCAACTTGTTTAAACAGTTAATTTATCCTATCTAGGGTCAAAAGGTGAAAATTTTAAATTCTAAGGGGCATCATATAGATTAAAATTTTAAGTCCTTCATAAATACAGCATATACCCACACAACAAAATTCCGGTGGGTGCACTTGCACCCCTCACTATAAGTTGGCCCCGCCCCTGCTTCTTTGGCTGCTTTTGCTTTATCTTCATTGTAATAATTGATTCTCATTGTAATAGTGATAAATCGTTGTACATCAAAACAGGAAATGTCCAGTCATGTCATTGGAAGTCATGAAGGACAACGTGGTATTTTTCTTTGGCAAAAGTTAGATCTCATTATAATTTTTTTCTTGAATTTTAAGGGATTGTTACAAGGAGGCCATTGGTGTTGCAACTGCATAAAACAGAGGGGCAGTCGGAATATGCAGAGTTTCTTCATGCACCAAAGAAGAGGTTTACTGATTTTGGTAAGTGGAATTTGAAGAATTAATTTGCTTACCCTTTGTCTGATGCATATGGATGGTTATGTAATTTCAAACTGACGATCTATGTAATTTCAAAGGAACCAACTTTGCCCATGAGATTGCACATCAATAACGTATTGATGTGCAGGGTTTATTAGTGTACCTAATATGCAAACCAGCAATTCTGTGTCTTTGATTCATCTGCCAATATACTACATAATGTTACAAAAGGATTAGGAGGTTTGACTATGCTGAAGGCTTGAGTTCTGATAATTGGACATTCTTTGCTCATCACATCTATTTCTGGTATATGCAATGAATCAGCCCGCTCTGTCTATTCTGTTATATTCTGCAGAATAAAACTATTTATGAATACCTAAACCTGTTAAGAGGAATACATCAGTTCATCCGGCGATTGTTTGAAACATTGTTGTCCTTGTTCTTATTAAGTAAAAATGTAAAATCATCTTAAAAAGTTTCTGCTGTCAGTAAGCATAAAGCAATTATTCTTTATTGGAAACAGCTAGGCTTACAATATGATTTCTCATAAAATTATTTACTCTCATGTTTAAATGTTTGTTTAATAAGTTATTGAACTTATGAGTTTTTTCTTCTTCTCTCCTTTTTCTTCATTCTTGATGTTGCAGCTGCTGTGCGCAAGGAGATTCAAGATGAAACAGATCGTATAACTGGGAGGACTAAGCAAATCTCTAACATTCCAATTCACTTGAGCATATATTCTCCAAACGGTTTGTATTTGCTTTAAACTGTCTAGTCCCCTAGTCTAGCTTCTATCATTATATAGTAGAAATATAATGAATACTAGAACTAAACTACAATATTGTATGCTTCTTCATTGTTGATACATTGACATATATATGTTGTATGCTTCTTCAATATTGTCATATAATACCTATGCCAACACATGAAACTCCTCTCGGAAAAATCTCTTTTCCCACTATTTGGGATCAGCCATAAAAATAGTATTCTACAACTCCTGCCCATTTGGTTCATTCTTTGGGTTCTACATAGGTGACTGCATCTTTACTCACCTCTTTAAATTACAGACCTTTTGGTCTTTTGCTCATCCTGGTGGCACCCTCAATTTGGACAATGTAACTCTTCTCATGGATGCAATAATTTGTGCAACTATGTTTTATTTTAGATAAATAAATGCTCTCTCCATCTATCTTCCCATATTAAGTAGAAGAAGAGACATTTCGGAAGCTATCTAATTTCTAATTCTTATATGTTATAGTATCACTTTACTATTATACTAATTTCATAATTGTTCTACTTTCTTGTTATGTCGCTTTTCTATTATTGTTCTACTTTCCTAATATTTTAATTAGCTTCAATATCAATCCAGGGTTGACTCGACCAGTGTCGAAGCCAAGAATATGTTTTAAGGTGGGCACACTTAACCACAAGGTTTACTTTATCCTCTAATAGATAAAAATAATGTTATACATTTATGTTTTACATATCATATTTAATATTTAAAGATTCAAAAACATAAAAAAAAAAAAAAAAGAATTCCAAAGCCAGGATGCATAGTCTATTTAAACAAAAGTTAATTATAACCCTTTATAAAAAAAAATGAGGTTAATTATAGTCATTTACAATTGACCCCGACGAGTCTTCATACTTTAAAAGCGTTCCATGATAACTTCGTTATCAATGCCATCAAAAATAACAATGGAGTGGGCCGAGGGTTTTTTTTACTCAACTTTTTTTTTTTATCAATAATGCTTTTTGGGCCTAATTTGTTGACCTAATCTATCACAAATATTGAAATGATTGTGGGTCCCAACAAATATTGGGGTCTGTTGTCAACCCAATTGTTATGAATAATTAGGTCGATAAAATAGGTTCAAATAACATTACTTTTTTTTTTCTTGTTGATTCCGTGAGATTTGATATGGCCCATATTCTTTGTTATTCCAAGTATCCGAGAGATTTGTTCTCCACTCCATGATTAGCCAAAGAATGGAACCAGATTTGTTTTTTTAAATCATTAGGGTGGGCCTAATTGAAGGTATCCAAAAAAATATACAAAATATATATAGGTAATTTTTTTTCCAGCATCCAATCCTCTTGTCTCTTGTTCTCTCTATTATAAGTCTAGTACCTTTGTAAACCACCAAACCATAACATTAACAAGACATCAATTCTCTCATTCTCTTTATTTTTTTTCTAATAGGTAGTGTTAAGGGAGAATCAAAACATCGTATCCCAAAGTTTTCATAATAAGTTTTATTGTTTTATAATTTTATGACTTTTTTAATTCCAAGCTCATGTTATATTTTTTGGGGTAGATAGAATTTATTGATTTGTAAATTGTAACTATGAGAGTTAGATAAAAGCATCTACATAGAAAAAATATTCAAAAAGAGAAAATTTGAAAAACTAATTGAATTTAAAAAGAACTTCTTAAGAAATTTATCACTCGTGACAAAAAAAATATAACAAAAACTTTAAAAGAAAATTATGGTAAAATGAACAACTAATATACCTCATATCATTAGAAAGATTAGGTGGTTTAATCATACTATCAATTGAATAGGTAGGAGTAAATTTTGAGTACAAAACTTAATTAGAAATTAATCTATAAAAAATGGCAAAAATAATTTTTAAGTTAGTATTAAAAAATAAAAGGCCTCACTTTGAATTGCCACTTTAGGCCTCAAAGTTTATCCAGCTGCCCCTGTATCAATCTAGTATAAATAGGTGATAGGGTCTAGGTAATACAAACCATATTGTTTCATAATCTCTTTCTTTCCCTAAATCCTAATATAGAATTATTCATATTTCAATTTGGTATCAGATCAAGATAGTAGGATGAGAAGGGTCCTAGGGAGTGGGGGACCCTAGGTGAGCGTCTTACTCGCCTAGAGGTTGGGTCGGCCCTGCATACATTGAGTTATAATCCTCTATGTGTTCGTCAATTGCCAATTTAGTGTTGGTTTAGTGATTTTTGGCCAGTTTGGTGTCGGTTTAGTAATTTTCATCTTGGTTCAATCTCAGTTCAGCGTTTTCAACTCGACTTATTGTACCAGTTCAATGGTTTTCATCCTAATTTGGTACTAGTTTAGTGTTTTTCAACCCTGGTCAATGCCAATTTGCTGTTTCTGTCCGGTTTAGTGTTGGTTCAGTGTTTTTCAAAACGATGTAGTGTATGTTCATAGTTTTCAGCCCGATTTAGGGCCAGTTCATTAGTTTTCAACCCAGTTTTGTGTTGGTTTATTAGGTTTCATCGTGGATTAATGTCGGTCTAGTGTTTTTAGCCCGGTTTAGTGTCTATTCAATGGTTCTGGTCAGTTTGGTGCTAATTTAGTGATTTCTAGACTAGTTTAGTGCCAATTTAGTAGTTTTTAGTGGTGCAATTCTTGCATTTTCATCTTAATTTAGTACTTCTTTTTGTGTTACTTAGCATCAGATTCAACTCCAATTCTTGTTGGTTTACCCTATTTTCGTTTCTTGTGGTTGAATTTGAATTTTTCCAGCAGTTTATTGTAGTGTTGTTGGTTATGTTGGTTTGTATAGGTATTATTATTGTTCAGCTAATGTCTTCGACTTCAATTGGGCAACCAGGTTTATTTCTCATGGGGAATACCGTGGTAGTGCATGTTAATTAAAAAAGTCTGTATGTTCTGAAGTAGTCATCTACAACTTGGATTTATTATAGTTATTGTTTACGTGGTGATATTGCTACTCCGTTTGTAAGGTCTGGTGACCAACTCGGTGTTATCCTTGCCAAACAACTGGCACGGTCCACCTTTAGTAGCCTTTGTTGCAAGTTGGACATTTTTTATCTCTCTGCTCTTGCTTGAAGGGGAATGTTAGAGGATTACTTTCCTATAGTTATATGAATCTATTATGTTACTTTTCTATTGTTCTATTTTCCTATTATATCAATATCAATCTGATACAAATAGGTCAACTGTGCAGGCAGCACAAACCATTGTTTCATAATCTCTTCCTTCATCTCTTCTTCCTCTTCCTCTTCTTCTTATTCTTATTTTTCTTCTCTTTCTTTCCTTAAATCCTAATATTCAACTTTAAAAGACTAATACACGGCTGAAGGTGAGACTGTAACTTGAAGGCGAGTTTGTATCCAGCCCTCCTTTCCCAGGAACTACAAATGGTTGAACAACCACTTGCTCTAACCACTAGTTATATCAAGTTAAAATAATACATGTGAATTGTTGCACATAATTTACCAGGAGTGAAGCTTATCTTGGTTTTCCTGTTTCTATCCTCCTTTCTGTTCTCAATATTCCCTTTATCACCAGGACACTGGTCATAGAGGGTTCAGGATCAGTGCTTCATTATTTTACTCTTCAATATGTTTGGTGTTCGTCAGTGCTCTTACACCTTTTATTTGTTTTTGTTCGATGTGGACACAGCAACATCTATTGAATCCTTCAGTGGAGTTGCATATTACTTTAAGCAGTTGGATTGTTCCCAGAACTTCTTGTTAGTGCCTTTACACTTCACGAATTGTTGTGTCCTTTGCAAGAATTACCAAGATGATGTTAAGTTTGGAAATCTTTGTTTAGAAATAGTTTGTCGAAAGTGAATTATGAAAAAAATAAAATCTCTTAATTTGCTTCCTTATTTTTAGAGTGAACGTAGTGTCCTTAATTCAGTCTCCAATTGTACAATAATGCTGAAGAAGAATTGCTCTAGCCCTGGGTCTGATGAATGAATTTGAATCTGCTGGATCAATGTCATCTATACTATAACATATGGTTTGAATAAATTTTGGTAGATAGGAACACATCTCAAATCTTTTCAGAAATAGAGATGCTGAAATGAAGAAGTTTACTATGAGAAGATACTTGGTTTTATGTAATGGTGAAAGAAAATACTTCCAAAATTAAGGTCGTCGAGAGAAGGTACTTTTGCCCTTTCACTTTGCACCATATCTTATGATACTTATCTTACCATACGTTTTGATACAATAAAAAAACGAGAATATCAAAATGACCTCGTTTCACAAGGCTTTTTCTACCTAAACAATGAAACAACGTTGTTTCCCCAATTTGTCATTTTTATTTTTGGTTTGACCTCAAACAAACGAAGTTCTCAATCATCTTCTTCTCCCAAGTCCTTCTTTTTGTTTCTTCTGCATATTATTCTTCTTCTCATTCAAGCAAATGAAACCTATCTACATTTAAATCGTTGTTGTGAAGACAACGATTGTTCCTTTTTTGATCTCTATTGGACACACGAAATGATAAGTGAATTTAATAGGTCAAAAAGAAAAAATTGTTGCCCTTGATTTCTTAACATGAAAATGATTTTTATTACCTCTTAGTCCTTAATATAGATTGATGATTATTTAATAAATGGATAGTGTTTCTTTTTTCAGCTGTTCTTGAGACCTAGTTCAGTTTGGAATTCTATGCTCTAGTTTATCCTAATTGTTAAATGATTTTAGGATAAATGGTATGATTTCAACACAGAGAACTGACTCACGATTTGTTTAGAGATAGATACCATACCAAGCGCAAAGGGGATGCTAACATAGTAGCATTGAACTTGTTGGAATCATAGAGTATAGACTAATTTCTTTACTCTTTGGAGCTGCACTCTGTTTGGGATGGAAACACAACCATATTGTTTCCTTCAGCAGCAGATATTCTAATTCATAGATTTTTATTTTTCATTAATTTTCCAAAACTTAGGAAAATTTTGAATGAAAAGCATCTTTTAAAAATGCCTTTTAATTTGTATTATCCATAAACATCTAGGGAATTTGGCTTCCAGGTGAAGCATAAAAGACTAACACTCTGACATGAAAGTGGTTGAGCATGAGATTCTAAATGTCTATAATCTCTTTCCTACTCTCTCTCTCTCACTCTCATGCACACACACACAGAGGCCAGCACTTCCTGAGGATCCTCATTTCTATAGTGCACTAGTAGTTCCTAAGTCATGGCATCATATATGCCACAGTCACTTTTATTTCCTTTCTCTATATTTTATACTGATTTCATTTTCTTTTGTTTTGCTATTTGTTTGACATGTACACTATTGAACACCTGGTTTTCTTTTACAGTTGTGAATTTAACCGTCATAGATCTCCCTGGATTGACAAAGGTTGCTGTAGGTGAGCATCAAAATATTAGTTTGTTATAGGTATAATTCAAGACAGTGTTAAGAATGACTGATATCAGATTACTTAACGACAGTTTCAATTTTGCAGAGGGACAGTCGGAGAGTATAGTTGAAGATATTGAAATGATGGTCCGGTCTTATGTTGAGAAGGTAAGGTGACCGTGTTATAGCGGCAACCAAGGATCAAAATGTCGTGTCGACACGTCCGAAATGTTTCGGAATTTCAACACTCCGAAATGTTTCGGAATTTCAACACTCCGAAACGAAACAGTGGTTGAATCACAAAATTCCAGTGTTTCGGTCGAAACAGTACTGTTTCGGACCGTTTCGGTCGAAACAGTACCGTTTCAAAAACAGTGATATATTCGGTTCACTCAACTTTAATTACATTTAATTCCCCATTGCTCTTCTGTCTTTTATAATTTTTTTGTTATAAGAATGAATAATTACACTTAATACCCTACTGTAATTATATTTAATACTCACTGTAATTATATTTAATACTTACTGTAATTACATTTAACACCCCACTGTTGTGCAAGTCTTCTGTTTTTTTTTTTTGTTATAAGTATTAACAATTACATTTAATACCCTAATATAATTATATTTAATACTCATTGTAATTACATTTAATTTTTAAGTATACATAAGTACCATTAATTTAATTTGATACCCTTCATTATCAGTATTATAATAAAATAGTATTATTAATTGGATAATATTTTAATTTAAAAGTGTTATACATGTCATATTTAATTTGTAGAATGAATATAATGTGTTTGATAATGCAATGACATTTATTATAAATATGACATTTTTATGTAAAAATGTGTTTATTTGATAAAAATTAAGTGTTTGAAACTAATTTAAGTGATTTTCGTCTCATGTCAAACCTTTTTTTCCCTCCAATTTAAAGTTATTCTTGTATAAATGAATGTTAGCCCAATAAATATGTTCAATTAATCAATTATTTAGCTTATCTTTATAAATTAATGGATTGTATTTGTGTTTCCATGCGTTTCCATATTTTTTCTGCGTTTCCAAAACGTTTCCGTTTTTGAGCCGACCGAAACGGTGCTTCGAAACGAAATTTCGATCCTTGGCGGCAACACCTAATTGCTTCAGTTACTTTCTGTTTTTTAAATCCAGGATCTGCCCAGTCATTGACTAGGAAGTCTAAATAAGTTGCATGTGAAATTATTCTCATCAGGAACTCATAAGATCCACCATTTACTATTCATCCAAGCAAGTTAGTGAATGTATTTTCCTGGAATATATCAAATGTGGCACCTCTGAGGATAGGAAAATATAGAAATGATTGAAGGAATATTTCATGGTTTTATATCAATCAGATATCTCCTTTTCACTTTTGAGATTTAAAGAAGTTGGGATTAAGGGTTCATTGAGTTGAATAGATTTTTGCAGTACCTCATTAGCATGCACAAGGCTGGCAGATAGAGAGAGGCACGAGCAAGTTCTTCAGAATCCAATTGCAAAGGCTGTTTGGTGGAGAATTGTTCATTTATGTGGATTATCTTTTCGCACATCGATAACGATTGATGAAAACAAGTATACTGTTATTTAGGGAAAATAAAAGTTTCTGTGCAGTTGCTGCACGTGTAGGAGATGAAATTCAGTTAAAATTATGGATACGGTATTTTACACCCCCCCCCCCGGTGTACCTCAAACTCAGAATGGATCCTATATCAGAGGTAAGTTTGTGAAGCTTCTGAGTTTAGATAAGTAATCAACTTTATGGATACGATATTTTACACTCCCCGTGGCTTTTGTGCTTCAGACTCGTAATGGATCCAATATTGGAAGTCAGTCCAGAACAGGGGCAAAGCCACTCAGTGCATTGTGGGAGCAACTGCCCCCACTCAATCTTTGTTTGCAAACAAATTTCTATACATGGTTTGATGTATTTTAAAATTTGCCCACTCAAAACAAATAAAATCTCATGCATCTTAATCCAATTAATCATCTCTCACGTTTGGATTAAATTTCTACTCTTAATCTCATAAATTTTTATAATTCGTTTTTTGAATCCCCTCGACATGTTTTTGAAAAACCATTCCAAAGCTTTGTGTTCCCTCTCTCTCTCTCTCTCTCTCTCTCTTTATATTTTGTTCCGTCTCTCGCGCTCTCTCACTATTGTTAATTTGAATGTATTGGGAAAACATCATTAATAATATTGTAATGAGATTATTATACAATGTTTTCGAATTATAAAAACTACTCAGGAACATTGTAAATGTGCTGAATATTACTGATCAATATTAAGGTTTTGCATTCATTATTAGTTCAATCTTTTTATTGTGTTATTGCTTAAATTTTCCCCCACTACGGTAAGTTTCTGGCTCTGCCCCTGGTCCAGAAGATTAAAATAACTTTGTGAAGCTTGTGAGATTTAGATAATCAATAAACAAGTTGAAGCACTTTAGTGAAGTTAGGTAGTGTAAGCACTCAAAATGATCCATCAAATGACAAATGGAATTTCAATAACACTAGAATTATCTCCGTAGGGACCCTATTGGGTGTTGAGCAATATGTTGTTGATCGAAGTATTGTTGACAATTTATGAATATCAGTAATGTACAGCAGAATCTCTTTGGCCAACTATAGCAGCAGTCATGACTTCTTGGTTGAGTCTTGGGTTTAGCATCAGGCTAGTTCTTTTACCTCCATCCTTGTGTATAGCCTTAATTTTCTTATCATATAACTTTTGAGGTGAACAATTTAAAATTCATATTGCACTTATGATGCAAGTATGAAGAACCATTACCCATATTCAGTTATGACAAACTTGGATAGTCAGGAATTAAGGGGCCACTCCTTACTTCAGTGGTAAAGTTTGTGGGCAATCAACCGTGACAATGCATTTCGTGTATGAAAGCAAAACTAGTCTCTGCAAATATAAGGAATGTTAGATCTTCCATCAGTCTGCTTCTCCTTGAAGATTGCGTGAGTGCGGCTGTACTGACTAGTGAGTGATGGGCTCTTAGAAAGCCATATAGTTTAAGATCACTTTTAAGCAAGATGATGCATAGGCTTGTGCCATGAGCACCAGTTTCACTAGTCTCAAATTTTTTGAACATTAAGCTAATACCAACTCTATCCGCTTTGTGGCCATCAAAATCATTGTTTAAGAAATTCTTTGCATAATCTGATCGTTGAGGCCATCTGATGGAACATTCTTATTTTTTTAGCCCAATTCCATCATATTGGCAATTTCTCCTGCCAATCAAGATATTGCTACTTCTGACGCAATAAAGCTTGCCAAAGAAGTTGATCCTACAGGTATTGTTTAGTTGGTGCAGTACTTCGCTCAGTTTCTTTGTTCTCCCAATGAGTTGTTTTCAATTGGATTTCTTGTTTGCTATGCGAGATATTTTTTGCTAATAATATTTGCTATTCAGGTGAGAGAACATTTGGAGTGCTAACAAAACTCGATCTGATGGACAAGGGAACCAATGCCCTAGATGTATGGGTTCTGTATTTATAATTGGTCAAACAATACACCTTACTTGCAATTGTAGAATCCTGACAACATAGTTGTTCTTGTCTTTCGGTTTGTACCTTACAAACCTTATTATCTGGTGTTTCCTTTGTTTATCCTCAGTTCTATCATGTTTAAGGTACTCGAGGGAAGAGCATACAGACTCCAACATCCCTGGGTTGGAATTGTGAATCGTTCACAAGCTGATATAAACAAGAATGTTGACATGATAGTGGCCCGTCGAAAGGAGCAGGAATATTTTGATCCAGCCCAGAATATGGACATTTGACGCATAAAATGGGCTCAGAGTATCTTGCAAAACTTCTATCAAAGGTTTTTCTTTCCTCCTCAGATATTTGCTTGTGGTTGTCCTCCTTACATTATGAACTACAGACCAAACTTACATTGAGTTTTTTTACTCCGAGTATAAATCAGCACTTGGAGACTGTTATCAGGCAGCGCATCCCAAGCATTATTGCTTTAATAAATAAGACGATTGATGAGCTTAACGCAGAATTGGACCGTATTGGCAGGCCTATATCCTTGGATGGAGGGGTAATTGACGGAATCTATTTAAAAACATTATTTTTTGGTTGTAAATGAGAATGTTTGCAGCCTTGAGTTAATTTCTTGAAGTATTTTATCTGTATATACAGGCCCAGCTGTACACAATTTTGGAAATGTGTCGTGCGTTTGACCGTATATTTAAGGAGCACTTGGATGGAGGGTAGTGCTAAATATTTTGTTTATGGCATTCATTAGAAGTTTTTAAAATCATAGAATTCTATACTTGACATGTGTTATTCGTTGTTGACGAACTTAGTGATTATTTGTTACCAGATCTGCATGTGGAGAGGCTATGAAATATTGTAACAAAGAGAAAGTTACTGAAGCTAATTATCCAAAGAATAGAGTTCATCTCCCCATCCCTATGCAAAAGATAAATAAATTTTTGTATTCACACATTGTTGCGGTAAATAATGCCATTGCTGCAAGAATAATTGGCAAAGTTTTAAAGAATAGTAAATAAGCTGTACGTTGGAATAATTATGAAAATATGGAAAGTTCCCACATTTTTGTTACACCAATAGTATATAACTTGAATCTCAAAATAGTATATAACTTGTTAACATGGATAGCCTATCCTTGAGAGGCCACAGGTGGGGGCAGGGGGTGTTGAATTATTTTGTACATCTCTAATAGCATACACTTCTAGACCGATCTATTATGAATAAAGGATGCTAGTGATTGGATGTATTTGAGTAATGAAAAATCATGTTCCTTGAATGTAATGCCTTAAACCCACTGTCAAGATATTGTCCACTTTGCCCATATGCTATTTGTTTTAAAATGCATCCTTACATGGTAAGGATTAAAGTCTAGATATAACGCACCCTGTCAAATTTTGGATAAAGAGATTGAGAGAGAAAATGGAAGAGAAAGAATCACAACCATAAAATGTCGTTCGTTCCAGATCTACATCCACAACAAACAAAATCCCCAACAGCTACATTTTTATTATTCTCACTTAATTGAATACATAAGTCACCTATATTTACCAAGTAACAAAAACATAAGACAAGGAAATAATCTGTCAATTATTTGTGATTGATTGAGAAAATCATGGAATCAACATGTGAGTCGCCTGTCAATAATCAAGAGTCAACCATTCTGCCAAGCATTTGATTTGATTGTGTTGACCCATCAATCATGGGATATTAGACACTCCTCCTCAAGTTGACACACTAAAAAGTTGAGTTGAAGTGGCCAACTTGGACTGAAAGAATGGACTGCGGTTGTTATGTCTGTGACATTGTTGAAGTTTCTGGGAATAGGACTTAGTTGAATGTCCTGAAAAATGCATCTTTGTTGATAAAGTCCTTTGAATGACATGCAGGGGGGGCGGGTGAATTTGAATGGAAAGACCTACCGTGCCAATACGTTGAGGGGACAATATGGACCCATCATGCAAACACACAAAAGATGCACAAAATGGACACCACACAAATACACAGAAAAAAGATTTTGGAATGAGAATCGTGCAGTTACGAGAAAAATGTGAATGAAATTAACATCCTTCAAATACGAAGCAAAAACGAAAGCAAGCAAGGTTGAATTGATCCGCTCAGATAGAATGTCAAATTTTTTAGATAAAGATAATCAAGAGAGAAAATGAAGAGAAAGAACAAAACCATATTATTTTTGATAACGATATCGAAGAAAGAAATGGACGACAAAGGAAAAAACCATATAATGTGGATCTGTCCTAAGACCTACATCCATGACATACAAA